AGGCTGGAGACCAATAACGACAAGTAAGAGCCACTTGACTTCCTAATCTTGAAGCTACTAAATATTTAATCACGTATAAATAAGTCTAGGGAGTAAAAACTGCAACCGCTCGAGGCGGCACTTCAGGCAATTGGTTTGGATAGATAGGCTGTTCGACTAACTGATTAATTCTGCATGTCATTCGTTAAATTGTTAAGGCAGTCCACGTATATATATCAACCCATGTGTCAAACCAAATCATGAACGTGCTCGTAGCCATGTAGTATTTCGGCAGCCGAGGCATTTGCCTCTCTTCAAAATGCGAAGTTTCTTGATCTTTAGTATGCAATACATCGTTTTATATATATCGTTTTTCGCTGATGTTACTATTGTAACTGATTTATTTTCCCTGCAAATATCGATCCCTCTGAGTACTGGACCTCTTCTCTACCCCAGTCATGCACTTGTGGTAGGTCCAGAACAAAGATCGTTGGAGGTGATTGGAAGAATTTTAAAATTTAATATCAAAGGGCACTCTTATTATTTTACCCTAAAAACGTCGGTGTTTTTTTTCTATATTTCTTGTCACGTTAATGGCGAGCTTAAACTTTAGCGATGGCATAAATTAAATTGTTTTCATTGGTCGTTTTTTTTAAGAACGAACCCGCGAACTAAGGACGCGAGCTACAGCCAGATTTCCCCAAGAGGGGACTGTTCATAGAAGTATTAAAATTCCATCTTCCGTCTGTCTTATAGAGTCAAAAGGGAGCTTAAGCAAAGTGGTTTTTGAGCGACGCATGTCAACCGGAAGTGAGGCGTTAATCCCCTTGAAACATTCCTTGAATCTACCAAATTTGAGTTGCTTAGTGTCTTTACTCATTTGGGGCGAAACTACTGCTTAAGAATGAAATTCTGCTTCCGGTTAACGTGCGTCGCTGAAAAACGTCTTTGCTTAATTGAAAAACGGGAGTGACTAACAGTCTAGGTATCCGTCCTTTTTCCGCACGGTATAGAGGCATCCTCTAAGAGGCAGTTGACTGTTCTAGATAAATAGATTAACATGGTAGTACGGCCATTTACATCCCACTCAGCAACTTAATTCGGGCTGCAGAAGGGCTAGCGCTTGGGAAGACAGTTTTCGAATCTTTTTACGATCATCATGGTAAAAATCATCATGGTAAATTGATTTTATTAATCTGGCTGTCACCAGGAGCCCATCAAATTTGATGGGCTCCTGGTGACACGTAATGATACTTTAGACTGTATTAACCTGCTTAAAATTGATCTTACAGGGTCTCTCCATGCGAACTACGACAAACAAAGAATAGAACACCCTCTAGAAACGAGGAAGGAGTCAAAAATTTTACCCCTCCTACAACTAGTGAAACCAATGAAAAGCACAGCACCGAGGTACCCTCAAGCGCAACCGTATCTAATTCTCCTTTGGAGGACCATTCCCCAGAGGACGACAACGAATTATTTTCTGCCGACTACGTCGAAAAGCTGGTGGCTTCGTTTTGGAGCAAAGTCGATAAGAAGATTGAGACAGTTGTTTCACAATACCACACGAGTCCGCAGGCCGGTCAGCAGTATATTTCGCAAGAAAATGCGCAGGCTGATACGAACGAAGCAAAGGAAGAACCAAAAGGTAACAATTAACCACGAATGCTATATTGTATTTATTAGTAGACTGTTATAAACCTGACTTACTTGTTTATTACTTTTCATTTTTAAAAGTAAACACTATTATAATCCATTAATTTCTTAAATTTTTTTACACCAACAATAACTTCTTTTAAAAATTATTAAACTGAGAGTGACTTGGTAACACTACTGGCGACTGTTTGGATTAAGAAGCTCTTTTCTTAGTGTGACTGAGATTCAGCCTGACTTATGATCTCAGTTCGTGCTGGAGAATACAAGACAGAAGTCACTCAAAAAAACAATTATCTTAAATGTTCATATTTGCTCTCTTTCAGAAAAGAAGTGTCCCCTTTCCAAATCCCCTGGTGGGATTTGCGTCTTTGTACTTTTTATATTTCAGGTGAGGATTGTAAGCTAACTGTAGCAAATGTCACTGTCGTGTTGTGAATTTATGCGAATACAATTAAGCATCAATCATATTACTACAGAAGTATGTACTATAATTACATAGACAACTTTTACCTTTTCTAAGCGTGGTGAAGGAACTCACAAAATTTTCGAATTCTTCGCTCCACACTTATCATTCCTTTTCTAACAGTTCTAAGAATATTCAACTGGAAAATATTGCATTTTAATGATAAGTTATTATATATTAAACGCTTTCTCTTCTTTATAGACATTAAATAAGATTTGGACCCTTTGCAAAGAGAACTTGAAGAGCAAAGGAAAGGTAAGTACGGTTACCTGTAATATTCACCAGGTAAATGTCACAATAAGAGCTGACAGTTCACAGCCTTTCTATTTCCTTTTGCTCCAAACGGAAGAGAATAAAAAAATCAGCGAGAAAAGCGAGCGCGAGAAGCAAAGATGAAGGTCGGGGATGGCAGGCAAGGAAAAAGAAGAAGCGGAATGCTATTTTCCAAAGATGCGTTAAGTCTCTGTAATTCTCTTGCCGCTTTCTGCCTCTTCTCCGCTCACTTGCGCACCGCGCACCGCTTAGCCTGCGTATCTGGCGGTTTTTTGTTGTGTTTTTTCTTTTGTGGTTCGGAAAGTAAGAGTTAGAGCCGTGCAAAAGCTAAACCGAGGTAGAAACAGAAAACGACATGGGGGAGAGGGCGAGCGGGAGAAGGCAGTGAGAAAAATCGCCTGCAATTTTTCTTACTGCCTTCTCTCCCCGTCCCCTCTCCCATCGTTTTCTTTTTCGTCCTCGGTTCAAGTTTCGTGGGGCTGAATCTCTTACTTTACGTACCACCAAACAAAAAAAACACACCAAAAAGCCCACCAACTGCGCGGGCTACGCATCGTGTTGGCAAATGCGCCTAGTTCGCGTGCCGATCAAACAGATCGTTTTCAGATCCCGCCGCCGTGTTGGCCACTATACGAAACAGAGAATCAAGTGACCGATACATGATTAAAAAATGCGGGACATAGTATTTTGTTTTGTTAGTTACTTTGAGCAGGAGCCCGTAACCAGGGTTACAGGTTATGGGTTAGGCTTTGAAGCAGCAGAATATCAGAGAAAGAAATTAACTGCAAACCGTGGACGAAGATCCTGCTGGTTGTCAACGTTGGATCTCTAGAAACTAAAACGAGAGGTCTCAAAGACTACTGCAAAGCTGATTATAATAACGTGTATCGCTTTTTAATAACAATATTTCGGCTGCCCATACCAGCCTTCTTCAGGTTTACAGATGGTGTTACCGAATTCATGATTATAGAAATTACAACATTATATAGGTGGCAAATATCGCATTAAAAACAGTTTAAAAGGGAGAGGCAGAAAGGACGCACAATATAAAAAGGAAAGAAAAACTAATAAGGATATAGATTCCAATAATTCGCACGGCGGTTTAGGCCATTAGGTTCAAGAGTCATGGCCCTATCTATGAAATATGACTCCCTTGCCTTACGGACTGAGTCACGTGAAGAATATTAGAGAAACCCTTTTTCCAACCAAATCGTGACAAAGCCTCCTCCAATATAACCTACCTTATTATTCGATGCAAATTTTTCTTCCTTTTCATTGGCCGAGAGTTCACCACGCGACCTGTAAATAATTGCCGACAAATAATGGTCTGCTCATGCGCAATGTCGTCCAACTGTGTTTGGCCACATAAATGAGCAAAATGGGAAGGGAGCCATTTGATCTCTGTCTGGCGCTCTTGCCCCTTCCCGAAGATATTCATTAAGAAAAAATGAATCGGTAACCGAATGATGAAACAATTAGTGAACTCGGTTATGGCAAAATATCGTGATTTGTCAGTGTCTCGCAGATCAATTATTTGCCTCAGCCGCTGGCCAGTAACCTGACAAATCACAATATACTGCTCAACTTCATCCAATAATTGTCAATAAATTATTTAGAGCTAACTCTAAACCAACATGACAGGAATGGTTTAAAGATGGAATGTGGAGGAACAATCTGAGAGCAATCTTCACCCATCGACATGCTAATTTCACTGTTGTCATGGTGACACTGATGGACTGTTTCCTGGTGACTGCCAATATCTTTGCAGACTTTAATATTATTGACGGTAAGATATTTGGTTCACGTAAAATAGCTCTAAGATCTTGAAATGTTGAAACGAAATCGAAGTGATTTTTCTCCTTTCTCAAATCTTCTTCGTAAATCCTTGTAATTCTTAGCCTGATCTGTGAAGCGCGACTCGTACTGACTAAGCGTCGTGGCTCTCCGGCTTTGGCATGTTTGTTTTACGACACACCTACTTCATCCTCGAAACACAAGAACATTTAGAAGTAACTTACGACTTACAAAACACTTTCTTGCAGATAATGGAATTGAGTTTATATTTAGAAGCTTTCTTTATATCAACTTGGCGGTAATGTTCCTGTTTCTTTTTGAGGTAAGCTAAATCTGAATAAATCAAACACTGAATTAAAGGAAAACTATGACCGAGAAAGAACAAACCATGATACGATATCTATCATTAACTGGATACTACCAAGAATATCACATATCAGATTCAAACAACCTTGCACTTAACAAGTAACAGCTATTATTGATTATCATTGATTACAATCATTTTCCAGCATCAAGGGCTGAATTCAATCAACTTCTTTTCTAGACCTCTCTCTTCGCTTTCTCGAGGCCAAGGCTAAGGTTGAACTTCAGTAACACATCTCAGATAATCCATTTTATTTATATTTTTGTCCATTTTCAAAGATAAAATTTAAATGGGCTGCGTTCTTCTAAAAGAAGAGCGGTAAAAAATATGACCAATTTCAGGACTGAAGTATATGCATGCACACAGCCATATCACCAGGGTAGTGGCAGCCATGGAAAGCTGTTTCGCTTAATTAAAGGGGTGCTTTTGTACTCGCCTTAGTGGCAAATGGCAGGGTCGATAATCGCAGCT